CAAGATTATCTGTTTTATCTGTTACTTTTGACAGTTTGATAATAGTGGGTTTCAGGGTGAGTCTTTTTAGGTTCATCCTAGTTGGAGATCTTCAAGTTTCTTGTATTGAATGTTCATTTCCTTCCTCAGATTTGGGACACTTTTGAAAATTGTTTATTTGAATAAGCTCTTTGCCCATCTCCTTCTTTTTTTTCAGACTTCTATGAAGTGTATATTGGTCTGCTTGATGGTGTCATATAAATCTGTTAGCATTTTTTCACTTTTCCTAATTCTAATTTCTTTTTATTCCTCAAACGTCATGCCTTTGAATTCATTTACTCCTTCTTCTGCTTGATAAAATCTGCTGTTGATATCCTCTAGTGAATATTGTACTACATTATTGTATTCTTCAGCTTCAGAATTTCTGTTTTTTTAAATCTTTTCCATAGTTTTTGATATTTTCAGTTTGTTCATGCATAATTTTTCTAATTTTATGTAGCTATCTGTGTTTTTGCTTTTAGCAAATTGAGCTTCTTTAAGATGATTATTTTGTGTTTTTAAAGACAATTTATAGACCATGGTTTCCAGTTGGTTTCTGGTGGTTTCTTTTGTTTCTCTGTTGCTTCATATGTCTGTGCTATTATTTTTGTCTGGGATTTGTGAATTTGAAAAAATCAGCCGTGTCTCTTAGATTTTTTCTAACTGATTTCACACAGGAAAAAGAACTTCACCAATCAGCCTGGGTAAAGTGTCTCCCAAACATTTTTAGGGGATTCATCTTCTCTGGGCATGTAAAATCCCAATAGAGAGGTTTATTGGTTTCTTTTTCCCAACCTTATAATTACTATTTCCTCTGCTCTCTGGCTGCAGAACTGCAGGTTCTCTAGTATTGCAATGAGCCCCTGAACTCTTCTGTGTTCTCTGAGCCTCAGGCATCCAGAGTATGCTATTTCTATCAGTGCACCCAGTCAGTGACATAGAAACCAGACCCTTGTGCACTCCCCAAAAAACCAGAACATTGGATGGGCATTTTTTGCTTTTCTTCCACTCTAGAGAGTGACTGCAAGTTTGACATTTACTTCTGATCACACCAAGTTGTTCTGACTTAGTGGATGGGCTGTCATGGGTGAAACAAAATGGCCTTTTTACCCATTTTTAATGTGGCTGTTCTTGGCTTTGACCTTAGCTGTGTTACTGTGACTTATTAACTAGTTTCTCGAGTACTCTTTAAAGCTTTTTGAACTATATATTGTTGCAAAGTTGGTATCTCTATGGGAAGCAAGGTCTGGGGTTTCTATTCCACCATCTTTCTAAACTACACCAAAGTCGGCATATATATATATGTGTGTGTGTGTGTGTGTGTATATATACACATATATATGCATATATACACATATATGTGTGTATATATACACATATGTATGTATACATATTTTGACATGGAGTCTCGCCCTGTCACCAGGCTCGCTGCAACCTCCACCTCCTGGGTTCAAGCGATTCGCCTGCTCAGCAACCCGAGTAGCTGGGACCACAGGTGTTCACCACCACACTCGGCTAATTTTTGTATTTTTAGTAGAGACTGGGTTTCACCGTGTTGGCTAGGATGGTCTCTATCTCCTGTACTTGTGATCTGCCCACCTCATCCTCCCAAAGTGCTAGGATTACAGGTGTGAGCCACCGTGCCCGGCACAAAGTCAGCATATTTTTAAACAACTCCCACTGTCCTCCCCAGCAATGTATGCAAGCACTGGTTGCCCTACATTCTTTCCAATATTTGATGCTCAAATATTTTTTTTCCAGTCATTCTATTGAGTGCACAGTGAAATCTTATTGTAGTTTTAATTTATATTTTCCTGATGACTAATAATAATTATTTCCATATTGTGTGATTATTGGCCATTTGCATATCTTATTTTGGGAAGCTTCTGTTCAAAGCTTTTCCCTGTTTTTCTATTGGTATGTTCTTTTTACTATTACAGTGCATGAGTTTTTAAAAATATTGTCTATATAAGCCTTTTGCCAGTGATATAAATTACAAAGATTTTCTCTTAGTCTTTGTATAACTACATTTTTCACTTGAGGTTGTCTTTGTTAACAGAAGCTTTATTTACTTTTATTGTTTTCGTATCCTCCCTAAGACATACTTGCCTACCCCAAGGTTGCAAAGATATTTTTTCTTATTTTCCTCTAGAGGGTTTGTTGCTTTAGCTTTTATGTTTACATTTATAATGTATCTTATATTTTTGTGCATCTTAGATAAGAATCAATTGTGCGTGTGTATTTAATATATGTATACATATGATTATTATTTGATCATACATGTTTGGATCTATTTTGGGATACTTTGTTACTTCCACTAATTTACATGTCTATTTTTTAAATGAAAATCACATTGTTTATTATTGTAACATATCCTAAAGTGACCTAGAATAGGTTCTTCGACTTTACAATTTGTAAAGACTGTTTGGCTATTCTACATCTATTGTATTGCTGCATATATTTTAGAAATAACATGCCACTTTGTATAAAAATTGTATTGGAATTTTGAATGGAACTAAATTAAATTTATAAACAATTTGGAAATTAACCCCTTAATAACTTTAAGTCTTAGTCGATGAACATGATATACCTTTTCATTTTTTTTCTCAGCAATTTATTAGTCTTTTTAATTTGGAATTATTGCATATCTTTCATTAAATTTACTTATATGCATTTTATGTTTTAATTTTATTGTAAATAATATTTTAAAATTTCATTGTCCATTTGTTTATTGCCAGCACATAAGATGTAATTTAACTTCATATATTAACATATTGCACAATAGCATAATTTTATTATTAATTCTAGAAAGACTTTTCTGCATTCTTAATGTTTTCCTACATATACAATTGTGTTATCTGCAAATAAGGTTTTGCTTTTTCCTTTCCAATCTACATTTCTTTAATTCTTTTGACTTTCCTGTTGCAGTGGCTAAGACTTCCATTTTATTTTGAACAACATGTTAACAGTAGACATCCCTTTCTTTCTCTTGATGTTAGCAGGGAATAATCCAGTTTTTTTTTTCTCTCATTAATTAGGGTATTGGATATAAGTTTTTAAAGATGTTCTTTATCAGATAGAGGAGCACTTCTATTCCTAGAACTCTGAAGTTTTTAATTTGCTTTTTTCAAAAAAAATTGATGGTGAATTGTCTCAAATATTTTGCTGCATACATTGAAATATTATGTATATGTTTTCGTTCTTTAGCCTTTTGATATGGTAAATGTTTAAAATGGATTTTGAATGTAAAACCAAGCTTGCATTTCTAGAATAAATACCACTTACTTGGTCATGATGTGATATATTTTTCATATAGTACTAGGTTCGGTTTGCTAATATATTGTTTACTTTTTTTGTGTGTATGTCCATGAGACTTGATAGTCTTTCTTCTTTTGTAAGTTTTGGTTGGATTTTTTTTTTAATTTATTTGTTCACTCCAACTAAGTTGTCAATTTCTTTCATGAAGTTATTTATCATGTCCTCTCATTATTCCTTTTAACATCCGTTAGCTCTCAGTAATGACCCCTCCTTCATTCCTGATATTGATAACTTGTATTTTCTTACTTTTCTTTTCTAATTTTTTTTTTGCTATGGGTTTATCTGATTTATTAGTGTCCCTAAAGATCTGATATTTGTCTTAATTAATTTTGTTTATTATTTTCTCTTTTCTATTTAATTTTTTCCCAGTTTTATTTTTATTATTTATTTATTTATTTTGTTTGTTTGTTTGTTTTGCTTTGGTTTAGTTTGCGCCTCCATTCTTAAGTTCTTAAGAGCATTAAGTTTACCTACCTTCCTTTTGTGTATGTATTTAAACATTTAAATTTCACTCAAATGACTGCTTAAGATTCATTCACAGAGTTTGATATGTTGTATTTTTATTTTGTTCAGTTCAAAATGTATATGCTTTAAAGTAATATGTATATACATTTGTTTTAAAGTAATACATATACATTAAAATGTTGTAGAAGATACAAATGCAAATAAACTGCACAAGGAAAATAACTAAAATAACTAAAACATAGTGTGATATTTCTTACAGTTTAAAGGTTAGAAAAATTATATCCAGATCAGTATAGCAAGAAGGCCTATGTTTCCCTTCTTAGTTCCAGGAAAATTACAGAATGTTAGAGTAATAAAAGAGAGGAACAATATCATTTTTTTAGCACATTGACTATTATGTAAGTACTGTTCCCTATGACATATGAGGTTTGAAATCAAGTATAATATTTCAAATGTAAATTGAGAATCAATTATATTTATGGGTAATATTTATAAACATTTGTAACTTTAAAAAATATCTTTAGAAAAATCAAGTAATCAGAAGTCAGGAACTATGTATAGTAATTGTGACTCTAATACTTACTAAACTGGGAAATCTTAGAAAATGACAAATCTTTAAGGCATTTCTCATCTTTAAAAAATAGATATTAGTAGGTATCTCATTAAAATCTAATATGAAGTTTTTTCATTGCAATTATACAAAATTTGATAATTTTAATGATTACTTGAATACAAACTAAGAGTACCTATAAAAACAGAGAATATGCAAACATTTTTGCATCATGGAAAATTATACTTTCTAAGGGTAGGATTTACCAGTTGGTTGAAATACGACATTAAATAGAATTTTGTAGACAACCAAAATCTTGCATTATTGTAAGTATGGTTTCTAAAAGCAAGCCACTTTAGTTAATCAAACAAAATAATACTTTTAATAAGGCTGTACATTTTCCTTAATAAAGTCTTAATGTTTCTGAAATCAAAGACAAATTTTGTGTGAGTCTCTTTTAGTGCCCAGATATCTGCAGTCACTTGGCTTACTTGCAAAACTCTGGCTTTAGTATAACTGAAATAAAATTGTATTGTAATATCTGATTTACTTGATATCATTGAGTATCCTTGAAAGTTTAATGGAATGCATAAGTTTAGAAGGGTATGGCGTTCTCACCAGTGGAATATTATGATTTTGTCTCCTGCAGGTGCTCCAAGTGACCAGAGCAGTGGCACCTCCTCTCCTCTCTGTGACAGTGGCTTACATCTCAACTACCACCCCAATAATACAGTAAGATGACCCAGGCACAGCTCAGATTAATAAGGAGATAACACACAGTTTGTGAAAACTGCTAGCGAATCTGTTTTATGTGATAGATAGGAAATCCCTGGTTGCATAATCATTTAAGTATTATGATAAACAAGAAATGGAAAATAAATAGGTCAGGGTTTTTATGCCATTTTTTCCCCTCTCAAGTCTGTACGGATTAAGTTCTTTTTAAGCAATAGATACTATTAACTTGGGGAGGTCACTGGGAATGTATAATATCATACAATCATTTTAGAACATTGCACATTACATGTGATTTCAGGTTCAAAATGCTTTGATATTAGTTTTACCACTTTTTTCTTTTGAAATTACTTAACTAAAAGTACCTATTTAATTTGCCATTTGTTAGAAATTTTTAGACAACTTTACGCACAGTAAGCAGTCACTGCAGTGAGAAAATCCGATTCACACATTATTTTAACATACAATGAATGTTTATACATGTATTTAGTAAAAGTTAAAATTAACCTTTGTTTTGTAGATATTTAATAAAATTTTAATCTTTGTTTTCTACTTGCATTTTGAGTAAATTGATTTTAATATTTTATAAATATTTTTGAAGTTCCTTGTATTTCATCCTTCAAAACACTCACACATTCTTTAAGAAATATTTTTTTCTGGTTACAAGCACATCTAAAAATCATCTTGCATGCTTACAAACATGAAGAGAAGCAGAGGTGACCTTAAGCAGAATTTTTTCGTTCTATTCCACATATTACGGTACAGACTTCATGTAGTTTCTTCTACCGACTCGTATGATTCATACTGTATTTGAAATTTTTGTCAAAATAGTGGCATTTTAGTTCAAAGCAATCTTTTTGAACATCTTCAGTCCTGAATGGCCTTCACTGTACCTGATTTCCCCAGTATTACTCTTCAGCTGAGAACCTTAGGCCCTCAAGTTGTCGACTTTTTTCCATCATAAAAAGACATTTGCCAAGACAAAAGGTTATCTGTACAACTGCAAGGATATTTTAGGATATTTTCTAAAACCAGCCTCAGCTGGATATATTTCATGTGACCATGTTTGAAACCATTTTTTTTTTTTTTTTGCTAGAGAAGTAATTGCCACACAAAAAGGGGCATTTAAAACCTGCACGTTATGCACATGTACCCTAGAACTTAAAGTATAATAATAATAAATAAATTTAAAAAAAAACACAATACAGCATGACGGGAGTGACTTAAAATTTATGAGGAAATGTACAGGTTTCCTAATGAAACACTTAGATATACAATGGAGTTTTTTACCTCTTGATTTTGTAATTGCTGTGCTCACCTTCTTCCCTCCCAATCTAGATGCCTTCGATAATTTCAATGCCCTTCTGGTGCACCTGCCCTCAGTAGCTGGAGGTGTTGGCTGTGCCCATTCACAGCTGATCCCTCTTCTCTGGATCCCCTTTGCCTGGGAGTCAGAGCTCATCTGGGTGTTGGGCACTACATGCCCTGCTTCCATCAGTCCTGAGAGGTTGCTCCTGAGAGTGACCCTACACATGTCCCTCAAACAAGAATTTCCATCTCAACTCTGATCCTAAGACAGAAACAAGAGCACACTTACTTCAGAGTGGGAGAAAGCTGTTTGGAGCTGTTTTGTTCTAGGTCTTGTCTCATACCCTTGAACTCCTGTATAATAATGAGAAGCAGAGGAGTCCAAATGGCAGGTCTAAGGGTAGAAATCATTCTGGTTTGTCTTTAACCCATTCCATTGACATATAGAAAAATGTGTACAGAATAATGTCCTTCCTTAGAAAACTACAATTACAGCAAGAAAATCACTCCAATTCTATAACATGATTGATCCCAAATAAATTCAGTTTTATAAAATTAAAAATAAAGCAACTGTTACCAATTCCTCTTACTGGAGCTATGTCTTCCCATTTCCAGAGGCACATTTTATTAACCTTTGAGCATTAGAATTGAACATTCTTTTGACATTGCTGAAGATATTTCAGTGTAAGGCAATTGAAAGTATTTATCATGATGCTATAGAGAATAATAATAAAAAATATGGAAACAAAACAAAGTATATTCAAAATAAAGACAAAAGTCTCAATACATATCAATTAAATGCATTTTTGTTGAGAACTTACTCTGTGGAAACACCCCTCCATTATACTTTGGGGAACAGTTAATTATGATTTTAACACAAGAACAGTAAGATCCAGATCTGTAGACGAAAGCATAAAATTAACTATAACATAAGCAGAAAAAAGAGGAATGAGTAGCAGCATTCTAATAACAGAGGTAAAAAGCTGTAGAGACTTTGAACATCTGACTAAAAAATTCAAAGTAAGTTGAGAGACTACAAACCAAGTGTGTGCTTTGTTGCCCACACGGGAGACTAACCTGCAATGGTAATCAGACCATGCAGGCTTGCACAGCCAGGGAGAGCACGTGCTGTTCCTTCTGTATCTTGAATAAGCTTTGATAGAGGAATGGTGAGTGGAGAACACCTCTACTCAGAGGTGTCCAAAATTTGGAGAGGTCAAAGACATGAAATAACAAGACAGTGAGCACTCGGAAGGAAAAGTGCATTGTGAGGCAAGTTTTCTTTCCGCAGAATACATGTATATTATAGACAGTCTACTTAAAAGAAACATTTGATTCTCTGATGTGTCTTAATTCTCAGTTCTATCCTAGGCTCACAGACTGCCTTTTCAATGTCTATACCTTGATCTGAAGCAAATTTTGAGTATTTATTATTCTGGTTTTCTAAGATGTCCTTACTGTATTTTTAAGGCAACATTTTAAGTCTAAGGGGAAATAAAGGATTATAATATATTAACATCATTCCACCATCCTACATAAAAATATCATCTATTCTTTCTAAGGATGCACAACATCACTAATTTTAAGGGATATGAAAGTCACTTGCTTTGCCAACCCAGACCTTGGCTCCTCAGCCCCAACCCAGATTCACTGAACTTCTCTCTTGAAATGGAGTAGAAGGATTTGTTTTGTCCTTACCAGAAGATTCTGATTCAGATAATCAGCCAAGCAGACTGAGAAACATTTTTCTTAACTGTACACTTTTAATTAATACATCCTATGCTGCCAAATCCTTAATAAAATATGGGTCAGCAGTTTGCCCTGTGTGCAGTTCTGTTTTGGTAAGATAGTTGTTCTTGAGTTTATTGTGTGGCATGTGTAAAATTTTGGGAAAAGAGCAAGGAAACATAAATGCTTCTTTTTCCAATCACATTATTAATATTTTAGGAAACAACGTTTTTGACATTGTAAAGTAGAGCTATTGAAAAACAGTCATGGTTCTCAAAAGCATAAAAGTGGTTGTGTTTTTAGACTATCTTTTGTGCAAAAATAAATCTGACTGCTATTCCAAAATATGATCAGAAAGTAAATTTATATTCTATTTACATAAATAAAATAAGTAAGGAGAAAAATTCTTTAATGGATAACTTATCTTCCACTGTAAATAACAGGTCTATAATATGAAATATATCAACTCTGTTTAGTCAAATAACTGAAGAGGGACTTACTCATATTTCTTATAAACAAGAAACATAAGAAAGTGACATATTTATACCTTTGGTACATAAAGGCATCAAATCAAGATGCCACAGAAAGAATGTCAAAGGCCACATATATTTCCATACTTGCCAATCTATGAAATGGACTGCTATGGTTTGTAAAACCTACCATATTCATGTATTTGGTGATTAGTCAGTCCCCAACATCTCATTATCCATGTCTTTAACAATCTTCGATATATTCTGTCCCATTTATTGATGAAACACAAAATTTGAGGGAAATTATTATTGTATTTTATGAAAGATGAGAAATTATCTTTAAATAATATACTTGAAGATATATAACCAAAATGTGCAATAATCAAGTAAAAAAATCCAAATTGGCCGGGCACGGTGGCTCAAGCCTGTAATCCCAGCACTTTGGGAGGCCGAGACGGGCGGATCACGAGGTCAGGAGATCGAGACCATCCTGGCTAACCCGGTGAAACCCCGTCTCTACTAAAAAATACAAAAAACTAGCCGGGCGAGGCGGCGGGCGCCTGTAGTCCCAGCTATTAGGGAGGCTGAGGCAGGAGAATGGCGTGAACCCGGGAGGCGGAGCTTGCAGTGAGCTGAGATCCGGCCACTGCACTCCAGCCTGGGCGACAGAGTGAGACTCCGTCTCAAAAAAAAAAAAAAAAAAAATCCAAATTATTTTCCATTGTTTCACCTCTGATTATGAGTGTTGAATGTTAAATGTGCTGCAGTAGATCTGTTGGCTCTGCTATCAAAGAGCTGTTAGTCTAAGTGAATCTTGGGGGTGCCCTTTGCTGGCTGGGCAACTTGGGTAGATTGTTTACTATAGAACTCAGGAATGCATGTGTGTACTGGGGTTCTGGGAAGGAGTTTCAGTCATTGTCAACATGAACCTTGCTTTGTGCAGCTGGGTGGGTCCTGGGCCACTTGCAATCCCCGTGGACATCTCTGACCTGGCCACAGAAACCTAGTTGGTTTACCCAAGCCTGCCACGCAGTATTATTGCTTCCTCATGTTCCCTCATGATGAAAAGGTGAGAAGTAATAATAAAATGCTTCTTAAAAAAACCTTCTTGGCTCACACCTGTAGTCCCAGCACTTTGGGAGGTCAAGGCAGGCAGATCACTTGAGGTCAAGAGTTCAAGACCAGCCCGGCAAACATGGTGAAACCCCGTCTATACTAAAAATACAAAAATTAGCCAGGTCTGGTTGTGGGCATCTGTAATCTCAACTACTTGGGGGGGCTGAGGCAGGAGGATCACTGGAACCCCAGTGGCAGAGGTTGCAGTGAGCTAAGATCATGCCATGCACTTCTAAGTGATAGAGTGAGACCCTGTCTCAAAAAATAAAAAATAAAAATAAAAAAACCTTCTGTTTTTCCCTTCAAATATGAACATAGTAAGAGCTTTGTTTTCAAAGATGTTGCAAGTGGTGTAAGCCAAGCACTTAGTACAGGCAAGTATTATTAAAACTACTATTAAATAGTAACAGTAATATTCCTAAAAATGTCCTCCCTAAAAGTTCCATGTTTAGAAACAATTTTGCCCATTATTTGAGCTTATTATTTTTGAGAATACATTATTTGATACTTTTTACTTACAGCTACCAAGCGATGCATCTAATTAGTTTGTTTTAGTAAATGTTAAATTACCATTAGCCTTTTAGGTATATTGAAAACAGTATGGAGCTATTTAGCTGGGCTATATTCTAAGAACTTTTTCATTTGTTGCCGTAATCTTACCAGTTGTTATCATTATTATCCCCACTTTGAAAATAAACACAGTAAGACAGAGACTACAAAATTTGCCCCCAGGTAATGGACTAGTCAGCTGGGAAATTGGTATTCAAATATAAGTGGTCTGATTCTGACTTGCAGCTTAAGCGCTCGCCACATTGTACTGTTGCCTAGCTGACCCCATATCATGCGCTGACCACCTGTAACAGCTGACATAAAGAACTGATTCCGTGTCATGAACTGACCACGTATAACAGCTGACATGAAGATCTGACCTCACGTCACATGCTGATCATCCATAACATCTGATATGAGGCCAGGAGAAAGAATAATATGAAACCTAGGTTTGTGCCTTTGCAGTCACCAGAGAGGCATTCAAAGCAACTGGCTAGCATTGAAGGACAGGTGTCTTGGAGGCTGAGGTGCTCACTGAGTCACTAATAGGGACCCCTCACTAAGTGATCTTAGCCAGTCCACCCTTCCAGGTATTCTAAACCACTCCACTCACTTAGTACGTTTTTGTTTGCTCAATCTGAAACAATTAACATAAAAATGCTGGGCAACATACAACCTTTAGTAAAAGTAATACTGTTTTTCACTGGAAGAATTGTTAAAAAAATTTAATGCCTGAGAGTAATGCTTAATAATATTTAGACTTCACAGAGTTTCAATATCTAGACTAAAATAGAATCTTCTTCCAACTTTATCACTCAAAAATTAGTCAATAAAGGGAAGTCAATGTTACCAGTTTACTGGCCAAATTGAGCTTACAACCCATGTCAATTTGAATATTAATATTATTTGATGTGCTGGTGTGACAAAGAAATTTTAACATTAAAGCTGAAATAATGAAGAAACATGAATCAAGTGAAAAAGCCCAAATTTTATCAAATGTAAGTCTCCTCCATGTAGAAAGGGAAAAAAAAGCTCTAACAAAACTTAAGATATGTATAATTTTAAGCCAACAATAGTTGCCTTGATATGCAATTAAAACAACATAAGAAAGTATAAATTCTTTAAGAATATGAAGTTAGAAAAACGAGCACAGATTTCCTTGAGTAGTGTTTTGAAAGTTGTTTTATAGGAATGTTCATTCTATTCAAAAATATTTGCAAAAAACTGATAAATTAAAAACACTTATAATTGTGCTTGACACTCATAAAATACTTGCTAATTGAATGAACTACCAGTTATTTTTATTTTTTCACTTATTGGTTAATCATACTTACATTTTTTTCCCACTTTTTCCATTCTTGAATAAATTATGTTCTGTCACACTCTTATCCTTTCCTTCCATCTCCACTCCTCATTTAAAAATGTTTTCACTAGCATTCTTAGTCTCAATAATTCCTTTCTTAACTTCTTATAGCATTCTATTAATAAATGAGTTAACCAATACAACTTTAGTGTCCGTAATATGGAATTCTTCTCATGGTATTCCATAAACGTCTTTTGATCATTTAGGGGAAAAATAATATCCCCCAGATGAAAGGGGTTTGGGACACAGAAACTCAAAGCACAGAAGAAAAACATTACATTTAAATATTTGTCTTCCTTTCAGGACACATTATCATGCTCGTCGTGGCCGACATCTCCAGGCTTGAGGTGGGAGAAGCGATGGTGCGACCTCAGACTGATCCCTCTACTACACTCACGCTTCTCTCAGTATGTGCCCGGCACAGATTTGAGTCGGTGAGTCCATGTTTATGGGTTACGATTGTTTTGCTTATTAAAAAAGAGGCCTTTTAGGAAACCTTTTAAACATATCACAATATGCCTTATGATTTTAGTATGTTTTTTATAGTAGAAAGAAGAGCTTCAAAATAGTAATCTAACAAAGTTAAACACTTACTATTCTGATGACAAAACCACAAGTTAAAGCCCTGACTCTGCTATTAACTTATTCTAATGGATTCAATGGATTCAATAGATAGTTTTGTTAAGTTTTCATATTTCCTCTTGTGTTGTTTACTTCTCAAGAATATTGCATAGTTTATTTATTTATTCATTCATTCATTTATTTTGAGTCAAGGTCTAGCTATGCTGCCCAAGCTGGAGTGCAGAGGGGCGATCTTGACTCAATGCAACCTCTACCTCCTGAGTTCAAGTGATCCTCCCACCTCAGTCTCCCGAGTAGCTGGGACTGCAGGCACATGCCACCATGCCCAGCTAATTGTTTTGTTTTGTTTTTGTAGATATGGGATTTCACCATGTTCCCTAGTATTGAACTCCTGGTCTCAAGAGATCTGCCTGCCTTGGCTTCCCGAAGTGCGGGGATTACAGGCATAAACCACATGCCCAGCGGCATAGTTGGTCTAAATTATAAGATTTATTTTCTGCTTTTAATATTCCTATATTGTTATCTATTTTACTAAGTGTAAGATAAGTAGTGGCCTCCTTTTCATTCTGGAATTTTTTTTTCTCTTTTTATCTTGATCAGTTTTGCTAAAGAGTTGTACATTTGGCTAATTTTTTAAAAATGATTAATTTGGGACTTTCTTGGATCTCTTAACTTATATATATACTTTATGAGCCTCTGCTTTTTCCCTGATTGTTTCCATTTCTTAAGTTTTCTGCTTGAATTTTTGTTCTTATTGCTTTTTGAGCCGGAGATTGGGAAAGTTTTCTGTAAAGAGCCGTATAGTAAATTTTTTTTTTTTTTTTTTTTTTTTGAGACGGAGTCTCGCCCTGTCACTGCAAGCTCCGCCTCCCGGGTTTACGCCATTCTCCTGCCTCAGCCTCCTGAGTAGCTGGGATTACAGGCGCCCGCCACCGCGCCCGGCTAGTTTTTTGTATTTTTTAGTAGAAACGGGGTTTCACCATGTTAGGTTTCACCAGGATGGTCTCGATCTCCTGACCTCGTGATCCGCCCATCTCGGCTCCCCAAAGTGCTGGGATTACAGGCTTGAGCCACCGCGCCTGGCCAAGAGCTGTATAGTAAATGTTTTATGTTTTGCAGGCCTTAATATCTCCGTCACAAAGTACTCAGCTCTGCTGTTCTGCCACAAAAATAGCCGTATACAATATATAAATAAATGAGCGCACCTTTGTTCCAATAAAACTTATTTACAAAAACAGGTGTCAGGCTAGATTTGTCCCATAGGCTTTAGTTTGCGAGTCCATTTTGATAATTAGTTTCAAGATTTATTTTTCCTAATATATCTTGCCAGATCTTCACATTTCCAGCAAATACTCTTGTAGTTAACTCCTGCAAGTTTAACATCACCTCTTGACTTATTTATAGTATTTTTGAGTATATCACTTTGCATAGTTTTCTGACTGGTTGCTCGAGGTATATGTGTAGGTAATGTATCCCAGTCTACTGGTAACGTTTTACCACTTTGAATGAAGTATAGAAATGTTGCTTCCATTAAGATTCCTTTATCTTTCCTGTTTATAAAGATATTGCCTTAACTTCCTACACATACATCAAACACTATATTGGGTGGTATTATGAATTTTGCTTCAACCATCAAATAAGATTTTAAAAACTCATAGAAAGGATAATCCATTATACTTAACCCAAAGTGTACCCGTCAATGATCTTTCTGAATTTCAAAGCTTCTTTTATCGCTTCCTTTCTGCTTAGATAATTTTTTTAGACATTCTTTAAAGGTAGATTTGCTAGCATCTAATTCCTTTAGTTTTCATTTATCTTAGTGGACACAGACTTTGGAGTTGACAGTTCTTTTCTTTCAGTAGCTAAAATATGTTAGGCATTAATGTCCACTGTCATTCAAATTGGTGTCCCCTATAAGTAATACGTTCTTTCTCTCTCTCTGCTTTGAAGACTTTTTTCTTTTTTTTTTCAGTTTCAGAAGACTAATTATGAAGTATGTTGGCACATATTTCTTTAAGTTTCTCATAAATGGGCTTTATTCGCTTCTTAAACCTGTGTGATTATGACTTTCAGCAAATTAGGGAAGTTTTGACTTTTATTCCTTCAAATACTTGTTTAGCCTCACTTTACATTCTCTCCCTCTGGATCTCTGTTGATGCAAATATTAACCCTTTTATTATTGTCCTGCACATCACTGAGAAACTTTTTAAGAATCTGTTTTCTTTCTGTTAAACAGTTTGGGAAAAGTTTATTGATCTGTATTTATGTTTTCAAATTTTATTTCCTGTCATTTAACTCTGCTCTTCAGCCTATTCATCATTTTATTTTTTTTGATTTATTTTTTCAGTTCTAGTTTATCTTTTTAAAAATAACTTCTTTTTTAAAGTTTTTAAAAACAATTTTATTTGTTTCAAGAAAACTTCTAATTGCTTGTTGAAGCATTTTTATGATGGTTACTGTGACATCTTTGTGAGATAATTTCAATATCTCATTCATTTCATTGTTAGTATCATTAGTTCTTTTCTTGTTCAACTTGTGATTTTCCTGGATATTGATGTGACAAGTGATTTAACAAAATCATTCTAGACTTTGGATATTAAATGTTGAGATTCGGGTTCCTATTTAATCTGGGTTTTGTTGTTGTTGTTCTTATTCTTCTTGTTGTTGTTTTTAGCAGGCAATCTCTTTGTTGTGAGGACTGCATGGGTGTATATGTTAAGTTTCCTAGTGCACCATGCTGACACCTGGAAAGGTAGATGGACAGGGTCATTAACATTTCTTGGTTGCTAAAGGTTGGAGGTAGAAGCTCAGTTCCCCACAGAATTCTACTGACATAAGGAAGGAGGTGGATGGATAGGAGAGGCCAACTAGCTCCACCAAGTACCACCTCATTCCACCGTGGTGATAATGGTGGGAGAGATCCAGCTCCTTGCTGGGCCACACTTGTCAGCACGGAAATGGAGGCACAGTACTTACTTGTCCCATCTCCCACAAGCCCGTTTAGTCTGATTGTTGCAGGTGAGTATGATAGTTCAGCTGTCCAGGACACCCCACTGACACTACCCTGGCAGGGAAATTGGAGCCTGCTTCTTTAAGGTGTGGAATGGAAGACCAGCTTCCTGCTAAGCCCTGCTGAAAACCTTGTGAACAGGGAGACAATGTATCCATTGATATTTGACTGAATTTGGGCAGGTGTTGCCAAAAGGTTTTATTTTGTTTGTTTTCAGTGTACCCATTCTCTAGTCCTTTAGAGTAACAGGTTTCCATTGGAGGCTTTATGTTTTTAAAAATCTTGCTGTTAGCCATTCAGAGGGGAGGATTCAGAAGGTCGGATTCAGAGGGTCATGTCTAGGACATGCAGGAGGAAAAGCCAGCGACTTAGCACTTTTTTTTATCCCTGAGTTTGAAGTCCCTAGTCATTCATGCTTACCTGTTCACCTCACAGGGGCTTCCCATACTTTTGTCATGTTAAGTGTGAAGTTCTTTAGTTGCATCAGGAAGCATCTGATAAGAATGAGGTCACTTTGTCTTGACCAGAATAGGAAATCAACAAATATTGGTATTCATATATTTTAAAAAATTCATTTGATAATGTTTTATTTTTGTTATAATTACTTCTTTGACGTATGGACTATTTAAAAGTGTATCATAAAATTTCAAAATATTTGTGGATTTTCTAATTATCTTTTTGCTATTTCTATTTAGTATAATTTCATGCTAGATGATTTCAATCCTTTGATAATTGTTGAGTCTTGATTTTACTCAGCATATATGTTAATTTGGGAAATGTTCTATATGTATTTATAAAGGATGAGTATTGTAACTTTTTTAGTGCTGTGTTGTACATATTTCAAGCAGGTCATATGTGTTCATTAGAGGCTCTGATCCTCTGCATCAGTCACGATTTTTTCCAGTTTATTGTATTAGGGTTTATATGAAGATGGTAAAGTGTCCCACTATAATAGTAGATCTGTGTGTTTCTCTATATTGTTGAGTGACTGTTTACTGTGTATATTTAATTATGTTGTCAGATACAAGTAGATTTAGAATTTTTATAAATTCCAGTTATATGATGCCTGATAATTATGACATGTCCTATACCTTTGGAAATATTTCTCGCCTTTAAGTCTATCTATATTAGGATAAATAAAAAACAGGTTTATATTTATTAATATCTACTTGTATATTCTTCTATCCTATTTAAACTGTTCTTAGTCTTACTGTACAAAATGTGCTCGTTCTGCATTAATATATAGGTATATATACACATCTATATATTATACATATATTTGGAATATTCTTTTTTGTTTTTAATCCAAAGTAACAAACTTGGTCATTAAATCAAATTAGTCTAGTTACTTTTAATGTAATTACAGATATATTTTGAATATACCAGCTTATTTTTTCCATTGAAAATCCTAGCTTTTTATGATTAAACCTTTTATTTTGAAAAAAATGTATATTCACATGCACTTGTGGGAAATACTATTTTCATTTACTCTTTGCTTATTATCCTAAATGGTATCATGTTGCAAAACAATAATACAATATCCCACCAGAAAATTAACTTGAAAAAATTCACCACACAGATTTTTTCCTTTAATTTATTATTATTATTATACTTTAAGTTATAGGGTACATGTGCATAACGTGCAGGTTTGTTACATATGGATACTTGTGCCATGTTGGTGTGCTGCACCCATCAACTCGTCAGCACCCATCAACTTGTCATTTACATCAGGTATAACTCCCAATGCAATCCCTCCC